CCCAAATAAGATACCTGACCTTTTAGACTTTTTTGCAGTTAAAAAAATTTCATCTAACTATGTTAAAGCTGAGGGACTTAGGTTAAGGAAAGGGGCTATCTCATTGAAGGTACTACCCCAAACATGTCATATAGGTACTAATCAAGATGATAGACTTTAAAAATGGTTTTCCAAATTATAAAATGTCGATAGATTAGTTTTAATTATTATYAAGTTTATAAATCATCATGGCTATATTATAATATATATCTTACTAAGTTCCGAACCTATTATCACTTATTATTATTTAATTATAAGTCCATACAAAGTCAAATAACTCTTCGTTAAAGAGATTATATCTATTTAAATTTCGATTTGGTTTTATAAACATATTAAAAATAGTAATCTGATTAATAATTTGCAGAAAATAACTAAATAAGGGTGATTTTMATTTAAAAAAAGTTAGTATCGTCATAAAACACTTTTTGAATGGTATGAACCTTCTAAGTATTTGAAAATATAGCTCATATTTAACCAGAAATCAGAATTTGAATAATTTCATTATTAAAATAAAATGGGGGACATGAGAAAGGGTAAACATGTATATGTATGGTAAATCTCCCTGAACCATATGATATCTAGACGAGTTTAGATTACATCATTGATTGTACTGAATAGTATATTATTAGCACAGTATCTATATCTCTGCACACGAGTTTATTTGTCTTTTATACGACAATCAATACACGTTTTGTATTGTATAATATACTGTATGTAGTTTAAAATAATATAATATATTGATATTTTAACTGTGAATTGATAAGTTTCTGGAATTTATATTTGAGTATCTTTTATAATTTTATGTAATATAATATATATTATGTATATTATTTTTCAAAACTTTATATTCTTATTTATTATAATTTGCATAGATATGTATATTTAAATACTTATAATATATATTATGTCATCGAGGATGTGTAATCGAATACCTATACGATCCGCATTAAAGAAATAAAGACCATAAGTGAGATTATAATCATAACATAATAATATCTCTATATATTTTATTATCCGCATTATAAATAGGGTTGAACTGTTGGCAATATGTTCCATAAGCACGATCGGTCGCAGGGTAGGTAGTTACCTATACAAAAGGGTTGTTGAACAATAGTCGGTTTCAAATGTACACACCACGGCACACATACTATTGTAATAGCACGACAGGTTTTAAAATCATTTACTRCTATACATACAGCTGACAGATTTTAGTCATGATGACGTGCAGCGCTATAAAATGTTTTGAAATTTGAAATCAATGAAAACGTTTGCCTACATGTTGTTGCAACTAGACAACTATTGATTATCTTCATTAATTCATGGCCAGACGCTGTAGTTCTTTGTGTAAAGCTGTCGAACTAAGTTTGTAAGCTTATTAACAGCCAAAAAGTTCGTAAACGAAACTAACCTAACTATTATAGCCATTAACTAATATTTCGCTGATTGATGATTWGTATACATTTTTGGTTCATATCTATATTACGTAATATTTATAATTATATTTATAATACTTATACATTAATAAGAGGTATACCTATTATTAGGTAGGTAACTATTCTATAAGGTATATTAGTAAATTGATACAAATGCATTAGTATCAGTGTAATAGCTTTTCAGCTCATAATTATTATTGTATCTTCTTAAAATATTTATTGCCACTAACATATAYATAATATTTTTATGTTGGTAGGTACCTAATTGGCACATATTTATACATATCGATGTGAAATAAGATAAAATAAAAGCTGTATGGTGTTTACTATTGTATGTTGCTTCATTATGAAACTTTCATGAGGTACCACTTGAAATACAGATAATTACGAAATCGCATAGAAAACTGTACCTAGTACATTATATATACCTATACTCACTGTATAATATAGGGGACTATAGGTATAAAATTATTATTAATTTCTAATACACCAAAAAGTATTGGGATTTGTGGTCATTTATAGTAAGTATACGGTAATATATTCTATAGCTATTATCAAAATCATAKAAATTAGAAAAAAACTGACAGGGACAAACATACGACTAGACATCCTGTAAAGGAATACACCCTAAAAAACAGATCCTTACAGCCACAATGACGGGGATGATATGGCTGTAGATAAATATATATCCATTACCTACGTGTTCGCGTCRTAATCTATTATTATGCGATATCAATTAAAACTTACAAGCATTTAATGGTTTTATATTGTAATTTATTATGAATATATCATACGTACCTATACTKTGCAGTAGGAATCTGTGGAATTGTGAGTGCTATGATTATAATAATACTATCTATACAAGATATATGTGATAACGTTTTGGTATGTATATCAGCGAAACAGTTAGTGAAGTTGTAGTGGTCCTGGTGATAGGTACTTATTATACGCACATCAAGTTATGCTGGATCAATAGAATGTGTACGCTGAAATAAAGGGTGGTTTCGCATGGTATACGCGTGTGCATTAAATTCCGATAGATAGCGKTAGGGTAAAGGGTTTTTGTGTTCCCTGAAACGTTTCTGTTAGCTGGAAAATATTTATAATACTTACATAAAACTTTATCGGATAAGCGGGCGTCCTATTAATTTTGGGTATTTTGTTAATTCTTCAAAATGTTGTAACAGATAGAGAAGAAAACATCGTTTAACCCGACATGTTTAATTCTCAACGACTTTAAACTGAGTGTAAGGAGTGATAATATTTATTTTTAAATTGGTACCCCATTCTAACAGGGCATTTGATAYATCTATTTAATTATTTATATAGGGAAGCTAAAATTTTGCAATTTCACCAACTGCCAAACCAAAAATCAGTCGCGAATATCTGTATGTGATTTGGCAATACGGAAATATAATCATGTATGTGTAATGTATATAGTTTATGCATATCTCTACAGTCTGCGGTCCTTTATTATCGTATCAAAATTATTACAAATTAATCAGATATAGGTACATAATATTATAAATCTTTATAATCTTTATGTATATAATTATTTATAATTATTCTTTTAACCAACTTTAAATGCTCAATATTATAATAATATTTCCATATAAAAACACAATAAATACAATTAAAAATTAATAAACAAACAATTTGGTACCTATAACTATGTAAAATTAACTAAAAATAATTAATATAAACAACATATACAATATTTAGAATCATACTTTATGCGTTATAGGTTATAACTTATAGGTCCACATTAGTTTATTACTTTGATACGATTTTTTAGTAGGTATATTGTTTTAATTTGAAATTTATATTTAAATTACAATATAACTTTAAGAGCTTCTATTGATTACTGATACAACTTTAACTTATAATAATATTATATTATATTTTTATAGATATTAAAAAACACTATATGTATAGTATTCAGATGCTACTATTTCTTTTCAAAAATATAAGTTCAAAATATCTGATTTAACAAAACTTTTATATTTAAGGAATTTTACATTAAGTAATTTTTAAATATGATTTAAAATAATATACTGTATGCACTAAAAACTGTCTTTAGGCATTGTCTATCTGGTACGAGTGGTACGACATTTTTTTTGTCAAATGGATCAATTCAATTTTGACATTTCCCTCCTCCTCTCTATTTCTTTTATTTAGTCGATCTACAGAATTTTATTTTTTTAGATGTAAGTTACATGTATTGCATGTACGTATATAATATATTACCGTGCTACCTTTTGGYATTGCATTCATCAATTTCCTTTTTAGTTTTTGTTCCTTTCAAATCCTTTTGCAATAAAATTCCAAGTATCTCTATATAATATGTCTACAGTCATTCAATACGTTCCAACTGTTACTATCTATTTTTTTCTTATTTTATTTACAATTGAAGTCGATCCTATAACCTTTTTTCCTGTCTATTCAATCTTAGTTACATTTTATATTTATTCTTTTTTCATGAAAACTTTACCTATATATAATATTATAGTATATTTTAATTATCTAACCACGTCTGAAATACATTACAAATATTATACACATACGGTTATATATTTTATATTTTATATAGTATTATAGCATTAATTACTATATGTACACAATATACTCGTACGTACCTGCGATAGATTAATACTTCATATATTATATATTTTTTATGTATTGAACTGTGTAAAATTKTAATAATCAACTGGTTGAATATAATATCTATTTTTATAACTTTGAAGGTAAGTTAGTGAGCCATATCTTAAACATTAACCGAATAAATTATTCGGTTTTTATTTAATTAACTAATATTATTATTTAAATATGGAAAACCATGTATTGAATTTAAACAAAGTTAAATGTTGTACCTAAATAGATGGTTATAGATAAATTTATAAAATTCAAACATATCATTATAATCGAATTTGATGAAAAAAATTACTTTTAATTGATAATAAGATTAGGTAATTATAGGTTTGATATTATGCTGTTGATAAACAAAACGTTGAAAAAGTTAACTTTTTTTAAAAATATTAGATTGTAATGCAGTGCATTTTTAACAACTTATTTTATGCATATTTAAAATCCATTGCATATTATTATAATTGCATATCATTTGGTTACAAATTCAACATTTTAATGCCAATTTTCAGAGTATGGTTAATGTATGAGATAAAGTGAAAAAGGACTTTTCTAAGCTGTCAAATTTCCTATTTCCCTTGTGTTCTATTTTATCGGTACCCATAGGGGTAGTACCTATATAGCAGTATTCTTTCCAAGCAGATCGAAAAAACTTTTGAACATATTTAGTTCAGCCTGTCGTATARCTTCTCYATTCAAAATTAAATGAAAACGAGATCTGGTTTATGTATTTTTGGGTGAATACTGAATATATTTACTTTTTATTTCCTTTGTTAGGTACCTATCTACTCTACTTTTATTTTTATTTTCTCATTGTAAAATTAATTGACCGTTCTTTATTAAATACTAATTTTCATTTTTATGGTTGAACAGTTATACTTTATACCTACCTATAAATACTATACATACGTATCTAATAATATAATATACAATCTTACCACTTTATAATGAATTCTATTGATATTTATTCTTATTTAATATTCTTATATTTGATTAAAAAAAAAGAAGTATTTTAGTATRGAATAAAAAAGTATATGAGGTATAAAAATATGCGAGTTTATAATTTGCACTTAATAGTTAATACTAAATAGTATTTGTAATTTGAACCAAACTAAGTAGGTATCTAATGTATTCGATTATTCGTCAATTGTTTGGTATTTATTATTCTGGCTATTTGATTAATAATAATTATTTATAATACTTATTTGGTATTGAGATTTTATTTTTCGATCTAAATAAAAAAAAAAAGATTTTATTTTTAGCTTAAAAATACATTTTCAAAAATGTATTACAGATATAAAATAACTAAGAAGAATCTCAGTGAGCTAGGATTTTGTTTGGAGAGTTAAGTTCTAAACAGAAACGTGTAATTTTTCCGCCTATTATATATATATAAAAAAAAAACAATGCTAAAGTAATTATATTAAGATTTACCAAAATCTAAATTGTATACAAACAATTTATCATTAATTGTTTGAAAATATATTTTTGTCTACAATAATGTTTTATAATATATTTGTCTTATATTATTGTTTTAAGGTAGGGAGTAGTACCCAGTTTTAAGTCAATATTGATGTAGGTACCTTAGATGAATGGTAAAAATATAGGTAAGTGAAATAATCGCCCAGAATCTAAAACGGAATATAATTGTGTTTTATTCCGAATAGCAATTATTATTTTTGTCATCATATATTGGTAGGTTATCATATATTTTCTTATGTCATTTTGATTCATTGACTATGATTATTAACCTAAAATTGACCGAGTTGCAGGCTAACAGGTTTTTTGAATTTAAATATTATTAGATTTTTTTTTAAAACACGGTACGGTATGACTATCTGTATTGGGTATATATTTTTCATGAATTTGGAATTTTTCTATCATGAAATAAAATTTCCACTTACGTCGAATTACTTCTTTATGCTTTATAAGAACATTGGTTCCTCTGTTATTCGTCTGCAGGCTACCTTAATTTTATTTTTAAAATCTTTGAAGTTTACTAGTGACCGATCTGCACAAAGAACAATTTTTAAATGTCCTCAAAAACAAATATAGTGGTGTCAAATCAGGTAACCGTGTGGTAACCATTCCATTATTAAACTCGGCCGTGAGTTTCCATCCATCGATTTCTAAACATTATGTTTAATTGTTATCAAACAATTATGGCGATATATGCTGGTGCATCATCTCAGATGTCTCCCAAAATCTGTTACCTTGTAACTCAGTCAATTTTAGGTTTACGACCATAGTTTATAGATCAAAATAACTTTGAAAAAAAGTTCTACCCATATCTGGTAACAAAAATAACCTTGTATACCTAAATCACAATATATAGTACATAATACCTATACAAGGGTTAAGAGATCAGTTTTTTTTTTTTWAATTAATAATAAAACGTTCCTAGCCTATGACTATCTACATCTATGGATATAATGAACATAATTTTTTGGCAATTTTAAAATGATGGGATATCAGTGATTAGTTTAATATTATATTAACTAAATATTATTCAATATTTTAAACGAAGATTTATTGATGAGTGATGACTATAATTAATTTTRCACCTATTACTGTTGTATACGCATGTATATTGTATATAGCTGTGGAGGGAGGTAGTGAGCCATCGTACGATATAATCTAAATCTATACTACAGTATTTCGTAAATTAGTTTTCACAATATTTGAAAATTACACACAGTATCAAGTATTTACATTACAAAATTAATGGTTGTAACGAATGTAACTAACGGGTTGATTATAGTTACATAGAGTATAGTATAATTAGTAGGTATAGGTAGGTATTAGGTACTTAAGTCTTAAGATGTACCAAATATTAAATATCTATACGAACTCTCCGTTGTCTAGGAAATATCAATGATCCAATACCCTGAAATGATAAAATACCGATACAAAGCGAACATGCAATTTTTATTTAAATATAGGTACTATGCTAATACAATGATTACCTACTGGATTTTGTTTTAAAATTGTGCTGTGGCCTGTGTGTTGTATATAGTACGTCATATTCTACGAACATGAAGCAAAAGTAAGCTGCTCTTTGAAATTGGTTCAATTATAGAATAAAACACTTTGGGTCTTAAACTTTTAGCCTTTTCATAAATTGTTCAATACACTTACAAAACTTTGGTACAAGGTCGTCGTGTCTTATTGAAATCAAACGAACCTATATATTTTTGTAAAGAGTTGTAATTATGTCTGCGTTGATACAGTTCTATTCCGAGAGAGATTAATTATGAATGGTACAATTTCAT